GGGGGGGTTCTCACAGGGTTACTGAGGCATGCTGGGAAACTCCGAAATGTTTGTCTTTGCAGCCTCCTCGTGGGAAGTTCGGACTTGCGATGCTCTCCAGCTCCGCCATTTTTCCTTCTCTGAATCTTGACATTCCAGACCCTTAATGGCTTTACGTGAGTTCAGGGCCATCCTAGGTTGTTAGAGGATGTAGATCCACCTCTTTTCTGTTACTATTTCGCCTTTGAAAGATTGGAACGATGGGAAAACGTACGGAGAAAAGAGGAAAACTGAAAGAATTCCTCTCTCTCTTTCCGAATCCGATCTGGAGGCCTTTATTTGGTTTCTCAAAACAGACTGTATCACGTGATCAAAGTGGTTTCTGATACATTTATTTGCTTTGATTTTCAGATAATAAGATAAATAATAAATGATAAAATAAAATAATATAAGGGGAAGAAAATAAAGCCGTCCATCAGTTTCCTCTGGGAGTCTTTATCACATCATATTATGACCATATGATCATATTATTATAACATGCACCATGTGGACATGGTGGCCAATGGTAGCTCCACATCTATGCATAAATGTACATATAATATGAATAATAAAAACAACAGTGAGGGATGTTTTGATGGGACAAACAGCTGTATAAACCGTCACCCTCTTGTATCACAAAACAGACGTGACCTCATTTCCTCTGAACCCAAACATCTCACTGAAACTGGCAACGGCAGAATTATTCAAATAGAGACCCAGGGGTCTAAAAAAGCCGAGTGTGTGTGTATGGGGGCAGAGGCCTGAGTGTAATTAGATGTGATGTACGACTCCCACATAAGACAGGAAGCCTCTCCATCCACTGGAGATGTTTACTCCCTTTAAGTTTAGAGACGCCACTCTCAAACTCTGAGGGAGAGCTGGTGTCACACAGACAGGATTAAGAACTAATATGTGTAAAAATGTGTGTGAAGCAAAGAGATCGGAGTATATTTTGAAGTGAAAATGAACCCATTTCAATATAACTGCTAGTTGATGCTATGCAGGTCATTTTTTATATGTAGGTTTCTGAGACCTCTTCATACAGTCAAAATTTCATTAAAAAAACTCTGAAAATATAGATGAATTTGAATTAATTTTGACAATTGTTCAAGAAAACGTAGAGAAAATATAGATTACATTTGTTGCTTTTAGTTTTCATTTTCAATATGTAGGTTTCTGAGACCTCTTCACACTGTCAAAATTTCATTAAAAAACTCTGAAAATATAGATTAATTTGAATTAATTTTCACAATTGTTCGAGAAAATGTAGAGAAAATATGGATTACATTTGCTGCTTTTATTTTTCATTTTCGATTTCGAGGTTTCTGAGACCTCAGTCAAAATGTCATTAAAAAACTCTGAAAATATAGATTAATTTGAATTAATTATTACAATTGTTCATGGAAATGTAAAGATATTTTTTATTACATTTGCTTCTTATATTTTTACGAATATTTTATATTTAAAAAAAGCTCAGTTTTTCTATCTTAGGTGGGTCCAAATGAGCTTTTATGAACAGGCTGTGATATAAACCTCAGTGAGTTGTTCGTATCTTTGTCAGGAATCGTTTTGGGTGCTTTCCAACTGCTTTGATTTGAATAAAGCACCATTTAGTGAACCACAAATGAGAGAAAGCAGGAGGGCTTTGATTCCAGCAGCTGAAGTTTCCTTTAAAACGGCAGAACAACCCATCGCGGAGTGGAAACCTCTCATTTTCTGGTTTGAGTCCCGGTTCCAGGTCGGTGATGGATGGAGGATTCCTTCCTTCCTTCCTTCCTTGCACAGGTTGGATTCCCCCACAGTTCTCCGGCATGTTTACTTTAAGACAGAGGACTAATCAGGCCGGGGTGGGTCGTGAAGATTTAAGCAGCCACCCTGAAACCCCCCCCCCGTGCACCCCCCCCCCCCCCCCCCCTCCTGTTGACAGTGTGTGTATTGTATGGGCTCACCTTCCTTCCGCTCATTAACCAAAGCAAACACCGACATAAATCCCTCCCTTCCAATCAGTCTAATGTCGGCCGGACCATGACAGCCAGGTCTGTGTTAACCAACCTCCTGAAAGCCAAACACACACTCCTCCCCCCCCAACCCTAACCCTAACCCTAACCCTAACCCCCCCCACAAAGCCGGCAGACGAACGCCCAGAGGTGTAAAACTGAAAACCGGCTTAAACTCAGTGATTATCTCCAAACCAAGCATCCAGCAGGTAAACATTTACGAAGGGGAGAGGTTCTTAGGATTAAATACTGTCTCCTTAATTGAAGTAAAACAAATTAAAAGGTTTATAAGGAACACAAAATAAGCCGGTTACACAGTTTGCTTCTCTTATCCTTTTTATCCGACTGTTCAAACATCATAATGAGCTTTAAAGGCTTGGCTATGTTTGTTTTTCTTTGTTTTTGGTCACCAAAGATCATTTGGGATATTTTCATTGCTTCAGAAAATGAACAACTTCTTGGCTGAACTATTTTTATGCTTCCGGGAGGTGTGCCCACGTCGGCAAGGTAATGCTACCATGCTAACGCTACCATGCTAACGTTCACGCTACCACGACGTCTCCACAGATAGGGGAGTAAGCTGAGGTGGGGGGCAACATGCAGGTGAAAGGCTGGAATATTATAATGAGCTAGAGCTAATGACGTCAGAAACTACCCACTCCTGAAACCTCCTGATTTATCTCCTGGATTCAGACTGAGGCAGCCCACAAAAACATGACGGAGTCATTTTTTTTCACACTTTTCCTGCTGATAGGCCCTCCACAGTCCCAAATGTACATAAACAAATGATTAAAAACTTGGTTTTACATAATATGTCCCCTTTAGCCTATAGCTCTGTAATCCCTCCATAGCATATTAAAGGTGTTTCTGAAATCCCTCCTCAATCCCCACTTGTTCCTCCTTTACTGGGGTCTGTTCTGAAATGGCCACTATTGGAAAACGCGTTGGCGTGTTGGTGATTACGCACAGAGCCCAGGATTCATGGTTAGCTCACAGCTCCTGGCTGGGTTTTTACGAGCGTCTCCTTTCTCAGAGGGAGCTGAAAGCCATTAGTGTTCCATTAGGAGGTGACAAATCCACCAGTTAAGCAAAGCAAATGTTTTGGGATTTGTAATGATCCCCCCAAAAAATCTTTTACTAGACTTTCAATCAATAAGGTATTTAC